GTGTTTGCATCCAAGACATTTGTGCAGCGGCGAGCTGGTCCTCGCCGCTCACTTTTGTCCGCTTTTACAGATTAGACGTCTCTGCTCCCAGTGTAGCCCATGCAGTGCTGGGCCCCCTGCTGAGTTAGAGCTCTAACTGTTAAATTCTTGTTGGGTTTGGTGATTTTCGAGATAAGCTCGTCTGGCAATACGGGAGCTACAATATCCCATAGTGAGACATCGAACGGAGTGTTACGAATGAGAACTATAGGTTACTTACGTAACCCCAGTTCTCAGAGTAACATGAAATGAGATGTCTCACCAGACGGCCCTCCTTGCTATGGTGAAGCGAGAAGAGGTGCTTATTTTGAATGATGCATGCAGCGTAGCGCAAGCTACTTATAGGGGTTAGATTCCCTGACGCTGACGTCAAGATCACCAGCCAATCAGGATTGGCGTAATGAGATTGATGCTTCTGTTTGCTCCGCGATGAGGCGCATCCCATAGTGAGACATCTCACTTCATGTTACTCTGAGAACTGGGGTTACGTAAGTAACCTATAGGCTTTGCATCTCATTTGGAACCAGATGAAAGTCCACTGTATAAATAAGTTCATAAGCAGTTCACTTTGTAATATATTGTATTCTTTGCATACATCTCAAGTGACTGGTATCAGTTTCTGACCCAGGCATTACATGCCTGAATATTTGATTGTGGTCTTAACTTAATCTTGTTATGTATTGGTATTATCATGTATTTTCTTACCATAAATGTGAGATATAACATAACCTTTCATGTCACAGCCACAGACCTAAATATAATCCAACTGGCAACTAGATATTAAGTAATACATACTCCGAAAATACCCATTGTGCTCTCAATTCATAAATGGGTATAGACACATGTTTTTAGAGTTATAACAACACAAATATTATTTATTATATAGTTAATAATAAATACTGAAGAATGCCAGTTCTAAATTAGTTGAGGCCATATAACTTACTTGTTCCGTTTTGGTTCAGATTTCTTGTAATGTTATACTGTATATTTAATTTTAGCAGGTAAAATATACATTGGTATATGCTGTATATACAGTGTAAGTACCCCTACATCTATTTGTAGCACTGCCCTTTATTGCAGAAAGGTTTGCTCTTTTCCTGAAGGAATAATTTGAAATGTGAGAAGCAGCCAATTAAATGTGACTATTATTCTTATCATCACCAGACCAAGCACTTTGCGTCACTTGATCTACTTGCATGACTAAAATATCACATCAGCTGTGCTTCTAATACAGTAGATATCCTAAGATAGATAAAGAGAGGGAATGAAAGACTGACCTGGACATTAACACAGGGGCTTTGTAATTTTTTTAATAATCATAATACATGAGACTTGTATAGCGCTTTTCTAGAAACTCAAAGACGCTTTGACAAAGAATAAAAAAACAAAACAAAAAAAAATACAAAAAGTGATAAACAAAACAGAAAACAGGGGCGGGGTGGTCAGTGGTTGAAAGCAGTGTTGAACAGGTGGGTTTTGTAATGCCTTATAGAGAGAACTGAAGATCAGGAAGGGGCGATTGTGTAGAATCTTGTCATGTGGCTCATGTCTAATGCAACAAACTATATTTTTATCTCATGAGCCTTCCCCTTATATTTAGAGTAACCCCCGTCTGTTTTAGATGCCCAGCTGGTGACTCATTAACAGTGTTTGCAACGGTGCTAATTTATTTTTTGATCGAACACACATATATTCTGGGTGAAGACAGGTCTCACTTTCCTCTCACATACATAGAGCATGCCCCGGCTGTATCAGGTCTCTAACTCTGATTAGAAACGTGCTCTAAATTTAGTGAGAAATTAAACCAATAATAGATTATGGAGAGTTGTGCAATCCCATGTATAGGCTAAAATACAAATAGAGGAGGTGTGATGTCGTGGAATAAATGCATCCAAATTACTCCAATCAATTGCTTTATAGCAGGGATGTCCACACTTTTTTCATGAGGGCCACATACAGAAAGATATTCCGAGGGCCGGGCAGCTCACTAGAGGTGAGGCAGTGGCGGCGCTAGGGGGTGGCTACTTGGGCTCAAGCCCCGGATGTTTTCTGAAAAGCCCCGGATGTTTCACTTAAAAAAATTAAAAAAATCTTTTTTGAATTTTTTTTTTAAAACGTCTCGGAAGTAATGTGCAGTACCGGAGTCCACCAGAGAGGCAGCCGCTGCGGGACAGTAGCCTGCGTACTGCGTAGCCTTCCCTGCCCTGAAGAAGAAGTGATCCTTCCTAGTGCCCATCGCCATATGGCTCTGCTAGTGCCTGACGAGTTTTAAGCTAATAGTCTATAAAGTTATGGATATTAGAAAGTTATTTTCATTGAAAAAGGCGCCACAACCTGCAACAGAAGCAGCAGTAGTATCAGCAGCTGACAACAATGTCATCACCAGCAGTGAAGAAATGGATGATGTTTCAGGTTTGTGAATCTAATGGTGATATCTGCAGTCTGTCTGACTGAGTAAGAAGTGAAAAAGAGTGATGTAATGTTAATGTTATAGCTAGTAAACATGGAGTAACCACAATAATTATACCCGTATATGTTAGTATGTATACAGAACATGACTAAAAATTATCTTAAGATGTAACGTTAACCCTTCATACCTCAGTCTACCTTTAAGACACTAAAATAACGTATTCAAATTTTTATATTGTTTTGGAATTATACCGGCTCTCGTTTCAGTACACTTCACAATGGAACCATAGCAACGGAACTGACAGGCAACCCTCTGAATCAGACTCCGATTGGCTGTGACTGCATCCACTCAGATACCTCATTCACACCAACGCAACTCCGGTTCAAGCTCCGTGCTAGAGCTTTTCAGGTTCAGAACCGGTTCTTCGGTTTAGCTGCGGCTCTTTTCACACTGCCCAGAGTCCGACTGGTGCTGCGTCATTGCGTCATCGTTTGCGTCATGACGTAACCGTTTGCGTGCCTGCTTCATAAAGCCAAAGCGCGCGGAAACCCCTCACAGCTCACACCGACAACAACAACAATGGCCGATTGTGCTCCAGCTTCCTCTGTGCCTCTTCGGAAGACCAGATTCCCAGTAGGTAGCTGGTCTCTTCAGTGGACCACTGCTGCTTGTTAAGTTTCTCCATTGTTGTGTACAAACTGGATAAAACGCCGGCTTTTTGTTGTTGTTCAATTTTAATCGTTTGACAGCCCTAGTTATAAGTTAGCAAAATCAATCAAAAGTAGGTAGATTATGATTGATACTTGAATCTGCTTTAAGAAAGATAACCGGCATACATCCCAGCTCTCCAGAGAGTTTCATTTAATTTGTTAGCAGCTCATCCCTTACAACAGGAGCTCCAGATTGATTATCATAAGAAGTAATAGGAAGGGTATATTTCAAGTTTGTTATGTATATAAGTTATTGGGCTTTTTTCTTATCAACTTAGATTTGTTAGAACATATTTTCAAATGTAATTGACAGAATTGATTGTAAATCGGGCTTATTAACACATGAACACTACTGTGTAATATATGTTTACAGGTATATTTAATAAGTACAATACAAGAAAAGCTCAAGTTTCATTTGTGGGCCGTATTCCATTATACTTTTTGAATTTGCTGAGGGCCGATTCAAAATGACCCGCGGGCCGCATTTGGCCCCCGGGCCGTAGTTTGGACACCCCTGCTTTATAATCTATAGGGCCCAGTTTAAGATTATTTTGATTATTGATTAATTTACTTGGTAATTGCTCGATAAATATATATATTGAGTCTATTATGTCTGAGATAATAAAAAATGTCTGTACCAGTTTCTCAAAGTCCTAGGGGATTTGTTAAGTTCTTCTATATGATATAATATTTGATATATAAAACGGAGAAAATTAGGACATCTCCATATTTGAGAATTCAATTAACCTTAAGGATTAATCAGTTATTTAAATAGTTGTTGGTTATTTATCTGTGTATTGCTATTCGGTACGTCGACTTATCATTTCAGGACCTTATGTTACATCTTAAGATGTCAATTTTACCACATGTCTCCACTGTTATGCCAAGGTGTAGCACAAAGTTGCTTACACTGCTAGTCGAGCCTTGAGTGAGGTGTTTTTTTTCACAGTGCCTGGATGTGTTATGCTACAGTATTCAGCCACCCATTAAATGGTGACATGGGGGGAAATCAGGTTAATGGCTTTACAGGATGTCCCAGGAATTTCAGTCATTCTCAGTAAAGCTCAAAGGAAGAAGAGAGCAGGGAAAAGCAGTTGAGACCTGTCTTTAATTCTGCATAAAATGTCTACATATGGCAGCTGTGTTTTAAGTATCTGATTACCTGAACCCCTTATTTGTTCCGTTCAAAGAGTCCGTCCAGATGAGGTTTGTTTGCCGTCCCAAATGGAAGTGGTTTCTTTTGTTGCTGATTGTTTTTTACACTGATACTAAAGACAGTAAACAAATACCCTACTCATATCGATAGACAAGAAAGGATTGGAGCTATTTTTATCAAACTTCAATTCTCCAAGGAATGCGATACAAGTACCGAGCCGTGTGTGAGGAGACTTGACCGTGAAGGTGTTGGAATTCACCCCGGTGTTCTTGAAACCACTCTTGAAATTTTTTGGCTGTGTGAATGAGGGGCTTTGCCATCTCTTAACACACTGAGGGAACAATGCATCAAAAGGTGCACCTGGACCTGTAAAACTAGTCATACTTCTTGGCATCACCCCACTATGCAAAGCTGAAAAGAGCCTGTCATTAAAAAGCTACAGATCCACTGTGCTGTCGAGAAAGGGTGAAAACAACGTATTACCCCATATTACTTTTTCCAGTGCTGTGGTGCCACTCATTGCGTGTTAACCTTGGATACATTAAGTGATTTTCACATGGCAGTACAGCTGTGAATATCATCTTCGCAGTTTGTTGAAGTTGATGACAGTTTAGTTTGTGTTTGGAAACTGCACATTTTAGACCATACTTTCAAGCAACTACCCCATTAAACGTTCATCTCTGACTGAGGCTGTCATGTTTGAATCATGACATCAGTATTTGGTTTTTAAGAACATTTCTCTTGCCACAAATAATTTGGGATGATTGGTGTCCGATGATAATTGATGTTAATTAACTTTTCTGGTTCTTCTCGGTAATTTTCTTTGAAACGTCGCATATTAAAGTGCTGATAGTCAGACCTCTCGCTGACACACACTAGTAATTGGCATTCAACATGTCACTACCTTTTGTAGATACTTTTACAACTATAATTTACTTACTTCAAAGGGGACATCCTCTCCATGTTGTGATTCTGTTTTGTATAGCCCTATTATCAGGTCATCACCTTGACAACAGCCACAACACAAGGCAAAAGTTGGATAACCAGGCAGAAAATGATTCCCACACCTCTGCATTTGACTTTAGGGACAACACAAAGCAACAACACAAAAATATGGGTCAGCAGAATCAGATGATAATGTCCCATGGCATGGTATTATAAGAGACCCTTGTTTTATCTAGTCTTATGAAATATACAGCTGTTTGTGGTGGAGACATTCGGACACAAACTCAGACTCCACACCCAGCACTGCTAGAAATGAGATTGTTTAAACACCTAAAATAACTTGAATTAGGATCATATAACTGACTGTTGTTTGTTGTTGAAAGATAACAGATTGAAAAGCAAACACATAACTGCCAGCACTCAAACATGTCCAAAGCTCTCTAGCAAAGAACGCAATGGTACAAAGGCCGGTTTTGGCAAACTCTAACAACTATATTCACACAAAGTGAATTCACATGTCCATTTTCTTAGCTCCCCAGGTTTTATTGCTGTTGTTTGGAGGTTTGGAAATGTCAGTAAAACGCAGTGAATATGATGTCAGTATTTTCATTGAACTCATTTTAAAGTTTGTTTGTTATATTGTTGTGGTCACAAATTGCTGGGTTGGATATATTTGGTATGTTTCCATGCACTGAAGAATACATGAGGCTGTAATTTTCTCTTGATCCCTGCTGGATATCTTGTAAATAGTGTCATCTTGTGTATCTTTATTCTTATATTCCCTGTCATTGTCTAATTGTCTGGTGTTTGGCTGTACTTGGCATTCACATCAATGTGTCACGATAGACAAATTGACTGGACTCCCATTTTAGTTCATGTGATGGTGGCACAATAGTTTTATTTAATTTTTTTTTTGCTGACCTCTGCCAGTTCGTTTCCAAAAGTGACAAATGATTCGACTCCAGATCCTCTCCTATTTTGGTGTAGTGTAGATTGTAGTGATGAGTTCAGGGTGTCTCACTGCTTCTCATCCACTGCATTTTAGGATAGGCGATGAGCAAATATAAAAAGAAATGGATGGACACACAATACTTTGAGATAAGCCAAGCGTGTTAAATCTATGATAAATCTGCATCTTTACTCTATAAGTCTTATATATATATATATTTATTTTTGTTGAAGTTGATGACAGTTTGTGTTTGGAAACTGCACATTTTAGACCCTGCTTTTAAGCTAGCCTACTACCCTTAACGTTCATTTCTGGTTTTTCTTTCTCTTGCCACAAATAATTTGGGATGATTGATGACTGATGATAATCGATGTTAATTAACCTCTCTGGTGCTTCTGGGTAATTTTCTTTGAAAAGTCACGTATTAAAGTGCTGATTGTCAGACCTCTCGCTGACACACACTAGTAATTGGCATCTTTACTATATAAGTCTTATATCTTTATGTTGCATTGTTGAAGGAGCATGGTACCTTTCAATAACTACACTTCAGCTACTGTGCATATGAAAAAAAAACATGTAATCTTGAATCCTTACTGCTAACATATATATCTATCCATCTATACTAACCTGCTAGTATCATTAAAGAGAAGAAAGAGGAGGAAGCAGGCAAATTAAGAATCTAAGGTCGAGGGGTCAGACAATCACCTGTACCAGCTCTCTGCTTGGCAGTTTGGATAAACAGTGGAGGACTCAGCCCGACCTCACTGTCAAACACACTGACGTGGATCACCTCAATCTCCAGTGAGCACTTCCAGCCCTCTCTGGCACCATCAGCCCGACTGAACCTCATTCCCTATTGAGTTTTCAAAATGTTGTATTTTCTGTCAAACAGTAATGATATTTTTGTGGATCATATTTTTCTGGTACTTGATGCTTACATTTCTCTTCATTTTTATGTTACATAGAAAAGACAATTGCCCAAACAGCACCAGTTAAAGGCCACCATTTTGTGGCTTGTGTAACCATTAGCCAATAACCAACCCCCCCCTTATCACCTGAATCTCCTTCCAGAGCACCATTGTGTTCTTTTTAACCAAATGTCTCTCTCAGAGGGGCGTGGGGAGCGGCTCCTTATTTTCATCTGAAGTAACAGACAGAGAATCAGCACTTTTGAAACAGGGCTGAAACAGAGGGGTTTATGGGATGCTACAATGCATGATCTGTTTGGTATTTGGAGCCAAACACTTCAGAGACATGTTTTGTATATATCTGAGACCTATAAGATATTGATGAAAAATTGTATGATAGGGGACCTTTAAAACACATTTCTCCCCATAGATCCACAGTTGAGGGTTTGTTGGCTGATGAGAGCTGGGGCCACAGTGGCCCTGTGTACCAGGCCTGTCAAACACATCACACACATGCAGACTTCACTTCTCTCCTCCTCGTTCCCCACTGATGTTGCCCAGTGAGCCCAGAGACAAATGGGCACAGACATGGAAGACATTAAGACTGGCTAAAAACAACATGCTAAGTACAGACTTGCTCTCCCGCAACGCAAACACAAAGTGTTCACTCTGCTGCAATATACACATTTTGACATAGACAGCAGGGGAGACAGTCCTCTTTATATTTATGTAAACTCTTTTCAGGGAAAGTTTGAGATGTAGAGACATTTTGTGGCTTCAAGTAGCTGTGTCAACATTGGGATGAAAGGGTAAATAACAAATTATCCAGGTCAAAGGTTACTCATGGAGATATGGTATTCAATGTCTAGTATGTTAGAAATAAAGGTGTAATACAGTGCTGTGTCTACAATCTGTCTGTGATTGCATTGAGACTTCAAGGAAAGATGGGACACATGCAAGACAGCCTTCCAGCACGAGTCTCTCAAGTTCAAAACCAGCAGTCTGAGGAATGCTCCTGAAGCTTCTCCGCTTACAGATCACATTTTAATCCTGTGACCTTTGTAAATACTGCTATTCTTAACACCTGAATTGTTTCCAAATAAGAGGTTGACATGATGTTGCAATTCTGAGACAGCAGAGCACTCAGGCTGGTATTAGATTACATTATATGATCTGCGCTGTGCACCAAGGACTGCAGAACAACAACCCTGGGTGTCTCTGGATTAGACATCATTTGAGATTTGCCCTATTAGTTTCAATTTAAGCTATTTGAATCAATCCTTGAAAGTGTTTACAATAAGACGTGGGGGGGCCAAGAGCTTGCTGACATGATTGGTGACAAATGACTCACTGTGTCACTGAGCTAGAGGGGGGCCTTCCCCTGTGGATCCTCAAACATAGTGTATTTTCTTAAAGGAGACAATTAGCTCTTGATGAGGAAGCCCAGCAGCAGGAGCTGTTGATATCAGGGAGTCAGAGGTCGCTGTTTGAAGCAGAAAAGCCAGTGGCATGGAACTGCTCCTCCAGTGGGAAAACATTTCCAGCTTCTTCTTGTTTTTTTATGTGCTGAGCTTATTCAAACCGGTAACAGATGCTGATAGGATGCTAATTGTTCATATATTGGTGACACAATCAGTTCATGGTTCAAAATGAGAGGATCATTATGACCTTTGTTCATGAACAGTGTTTTTACCTCATATTTGCAAAGTCATAATTCAAAGATGATGCCTGAAGAAGTACTTCTGAAGGGGTGTACTGTCACTTTTAGTAGCATCCTATTTTTCTTTACATATTTGTATTCTGTAACACACTAATGCTTCAGTAATGATTTCAGCATGACACGTGGTATAACTGATTTCCCCTGTTTTCTGATGCACGGAAATGTCTAGTTCTAAAACTGAACCCAAGTAAAAACATGATTAAGAATGACCAGGAACTGCGGAAATCAAAACAAAGATGCTGCAACCCTGCATGGAAACACAGTTTAGTTACAAAAGGATGTTTGGTCATTTCAGCAAAAACATCACAGCTTTGATTGCTATCTGCCAAATTACAAATACAACTTTAAAGCACTGAGATCTGATAATTTTCCCAAGCCAAGTTCAACATTTGTTTTTTACATTTGCATTTTAAAATGACTTTGTCTACAACTTGTGTAAGCTAATGTTGTTTATTAGGTAGAGTCATCAAACCATCTGTCCGTCCAGTCATGGAAAATGTAGAAAGCGATAATATAAAAAATCAAATCAAATCCTTCCCACCCGTGATCAAACATATCAACAAAAGTCCACTTCAAGGAGAGTAAATGAAATAGCATAGCCATTACCCTGACATGGTAAACAAACAAGACTGTTTCCCCCTCTGGATGCCATTAGGAATATTTCAATGTTTGCTTTAGTCATTGAGCAAAATGTGTTCTCTCTTCCTCTTCATACTTCAATAGTATGCAAATTATAGCATTCATTTACAAGCCGCCATTGTTCTCAGTCCAAACACAGCTTGTGTTTGTAAGTCTATAATTGTGTGGTATATTCTGCTCTGCTTATCTAACCTCCACTCTTTCTAATCATGTAATATTTAGAATATATAGAGGTTGCGTTGTCCGCTGGTTAAATCCCGTGGCTTTTACAGAGAGTGCAAAGGCTGCTTTGAGGCCTTTATGGAATCCAGCTGGCTCGGTCCAGCATTTCCAAAGTTCCACATTTATCTGAGTCAGATCAGAGCCAAGCATAGTCCAGTCAAACACCCACTGCAGCCTTGGGAACAGTGAAGGGTTTTTCAAGAACATGAACACAGTTGTACGGATTACACACTGGGATCATAACTTTGTTTTCATTCCAGTATCTCTTGTATACCTGCTAATACTAGCCTTGCATGGTGAGGGAGGTTCCTGGAATCTGCATGAGACGATTTAGATCTCCTGAACAGTGAAAATTGATCTGAATCAGTGAAATTACACCATCCATTAAGCCTTTGATTTTGCAGCTGGTATATGTGAGTAATGCTGCACACGCACGCACGCAAACACACACACACACACACACACACACACACACACACACACACACACACACACACACACACACACTCCTGACTCCCCCTATGGTAAAGTACTTCAACTCTCATTCACTCCTCAGCAGGTGTGGCAGAGTTTTACGAGAACTTCACCCTTAGTCGATTGTGACTCCTGTTCAGTCGTTGTCACAAAATAATACCTTGAATGTTAATCATACCTATTTTACGACTATTATTTCTAATCGAAGTTCTTATAAATAATAAAAAAGATATAGGTCTGGACTCATTTAGGCTTACTAAACTGTCGTGCAGTTGTGTTGGTCCAGATTAACACAAAAAGTAGCTAGGTAAACATTAGATTGAATTCACTTACACACATCAAACTCCAATATGAAATACAGTTCAATACGTAGATGTGTTGAGTGTGCATTTTTGTCAAGTTCAAGTTCTGCTGCAGCACTCATGAGCTTTATGCTGTGTTTGAGCCTAACCACTACCAGGTGTGCTTGAAAAGGTTTTGGTGAAACTGGCACAGGGTCAAAACAGGGTGGAAGTTGGAGGGGTGCCAAAGAGGGCGAGTACTAGAAGAATGGAGTAGCTTAATGTGAAAACATCAAACGATTCTGGTACCATAGTGTTAGGCTAAGGTGTCTGAGCTTGTTACGCTGCGATCATGCAGGGCTGATGTCTGTTGCCTCACACGGAGCCAGAAAACATTATTGCTCTGCATTTTTTAGGAAGGGTGCAGGGTATATGAACAGACGTGTATGTGGGTCGTGTGAAGTCATAAATATTATGTTCAAGATTTGGCTCTTAAATCTGGCCGATTTTACGGGTAGCCCATGCATGGTCAATTAAGATGAAATACAAATGAGGTGAGCTCTAAGATTTACAATCCATCATGGCCTTTGTGCCACAAGCCCAATGGGGTACAACAGTTCTCCTAACTATGAAATCCACTGTTTTGAAAGGCATCAGGGCTACACCCCACAGCACACCCACAGCCTCATGCAAACCATACTGCAAAGGTATGTGTGGTCCTGTGCAAGAGAGTCCAAACCAGCCAGGTTTTATTTTGCTTATCTGGGCCAAAAATGTTTGGTGTTATACAATGGAAATAATCATCCATATATATACAACAATACAATGCAGCCAGTTTGGGGAAATTGCAATATCATAAACATAATTGGCAGCAAAATCCCTTCAGAATTGTGCCAATAAACTTTAGGGGGACCTATCATGCAAAATGCACTTTTTTTTGTCTTGTATACATAAATGTGTGTCCCCGGTGTGCCAGGGAACTCACAAAGTGTAAGAAGACAAAACCTTCTCTCTTTTCCTCCCTACCCAAATCTCTAAAAACGGGGGTACAACGGAGCTGATCCAGACTTGCGTCCGATATGACGTAATATCGGAAATGTGGACCCATGGCGCTGTCAGAAACATTGCTATCAGAAACAATGCCCGACTGTTTTGGACGTGATATGGTCTTTGTTTAATTAGCAAGCATCGATAACACTCAGAGCTAATCTTTACTGGAGGGAGAATTTGTAAAAAAAGTTTTCAAGCTAAGGACCCAGATCATCGTTTCTCTAACAGGGCTGGAATAGAGGGATATGAGGGATGTCTACAATGCATGATCTGTTTGGTATTTTGAGCAAAACACATCATAGACATGTTTTTTATATATCTGTGATCCATAATATATGCCTAAAAATAGGAGACCTTTAATATAAATATCACAGTAAATCCAACAGTACGTTTCCAGAAGTCAAACCTTACCTGATATTGCCATACGTTGAAGCACTTTTTACATAGATTAAGATAAACAAGGGTCAAATGCATAGCAACATGAGCTTATAGAACCTGAATGTACTGGGGTACAAGCCACATATTAGCCAGTCAATATTTGGGGCTTTACCTTTGT